CTTGGTCCTGTGAATAGTTGTACTAAACTTGAGTCTTTTTTGCTTGCCAAAGACACAATGTTCGCAAAAGTCCAGCTTTCCTATCTTTTGTCCACCTAGCAAACCTCGTTTGCTCAATTCTGTCAAACCCCTCTCACTCATATGCCCTAAATGCATATGCCATAGATGGATAGTTTCTGAATCTTGATCAACTGAAGAAGATACTGAAGCAGCGCCTGCCACAGTACTGCCCTGTAAAAAATAGAGGCATTTTCTCTGTTTTCCCTTAAGCATAGTAAGAGCACCTTTAGAAACTCTCAAAACTCCACCTTCAGCTGAAAACTTGTAACCATTAGAGTAAAGAGTACCAAGAGAAATCAAATTCTTTTTCAAATCCGGAACATGCCGAACATCAGTACCACCATCAACAGAACGGTAAGTAGAAAACCAGTCCCTATTGGGACACATATGATAGGAACAATTAGAATCAAGAACCTTTTCATTCACTACTGGAGTGACAATCACTGACAGAAACTGAAAGAACATTTTCGACATCCGAGGAACTTTCCTCAGCAACCCCAGCAATATCAGAAGAATTACTAGTGGATTTATCCTTAGACTCCTCTTTTTATCCTTTTTATTTTTCCTTTTATTTTTCAATTTTGGACAATTCCACTTAATGTGCCCTTTTTGGTGACAATAATAACATTCAGTATCTTTATAAGACCTAGATTTAGATCTCGATTTGCCCTACTACCAGAACCCTTTTTCTTACTTCTTCCCCTCACAACCAGACCCTCGGCCTGTTCATCTCCATTATTTCCAAATACCTTTTTTCTCAACTCTTGATAGTTCAGTGAGGATTTAACATCCTCTATACTAATGGTGTCTTTTCCATAGAGCAATGTGGTAACAAAATGTTCATAGGAAGGAGGCAAAGAACATAACAAAATTAGGGCTTGATCTTCTCATCAATTTTAATATTAGTATTTTTCAAATCTATAATAATAGAATTGAAATTATCAACATGTTCCTTAAGAGGTATACCTTCCTTCATACGGAGGGTGTAGAGTCTCTGTTTCAGGTAAAGTCTGTTGGTGAGAGACTTTGTCATGTACAGACTCTCTAATTTCAGCCACAACTTTGACGCCGTGTCAATAACTTCACGTAACACCTCATCAGCTAGATTCAAAAGAATCGCACTGCGCGCCTTTTCATCGACCTTATCCTTGTCTTCATTAGAGATAGTTTCTGGCAACTTGTCCTTCCCTAACAACACCTTCTTTGGACCTTGCTGGGTTAACAGGCCCACATTTTAATGCGCCACAGACTGAAGTTAATCTTGCCATCAAATTTCTTAATCTCGTATTTGGTCGACATCTCAAAAAAAAAAAAAAAAACTCCCCAAAATATTTCTCGGTGAATAGTACCGTATTTGTGAACAGTACCGTACGACACGAACCCAAGCTCTGATACCAGTTTGTTATGAAATAATGGATCGAATAGGAGTTTATGAGAACAAGAGAAAAATAAATGACAAGAAAATAAAATAGCGCACACACAAATGAGATAAGAATTTACGTGGTTTGGTTATGCTTACATCTACGGGGAGAAGACAGAACAATATTTCACTGTGGAAATAAAATGATACAATGCTTAAGTGGCTCACACCCAAAACCCAATTACACCCAAAATTCTCTCACACTTTGCTTTTCTTTACTAAGCAAACTCACTCAATTGTTAGATGCCTTAAAACCATGGAGATCAAGGCTATTTATAGCCAAAATGTCAACATACTGCTTGTTGTCCACGCACACAAAAAGGCTTCACCACAGCTTGCTGATCAAGCACCTTGGTGACCACGCATAGACTATACTTGATGACCACTCAAAGGCTGGCAAGGCTTGGAGGTCAAGATGATGATGAAAGGAATGATGTAAATGGGAATGATATTGTTGACCTCAAAAATTGAGCCACAAAAAGTCAACATCACCGATGCCACTCGTTTTTATTAAAATTTCAAAAACGAAATTTTTGTACATTAAAAATGATTAATATTTGAAGCAATTGAAAAAAAAAAAAAAAAAAAAAAAACCCACAAATCATGTCATTTTTTATGATGCCAGTACGAAGTTTTGGGAAAAAATCTTCTTCCATTACGTGGCAGAATTGCACCTCTTGAAAAGGTAAAACCTTAAAGAGCAAAATTACTTAGAAGATATCACTGGAGAAGAACTGTCATTAGCAGCACATGATATATTAGGCTTTATATCACGACATTTCATCTCACATTCTCCATGCTGCTCCAACCCAAACCCATGATCACTCAGCCCTCTAGTCTTTGTTTCTTCTTTTGGTACATTTGTACTAATCCCAGCTTTTAAGTCAATCTCTGCTGCATAATCTTCCACCTCATTAACTGAAGGAGCCTCGCACCCAAGAGCTGATCTATCAGTATCATCTCTTAAACCATTAGAATTTTTATGTTGTAACTCTTCAAATGCTTGACATATTTCCTGTACACTGAAAGATATGGGTTTTGATTTTTTGAATAATCTGAAATGATATGCGGATATGGGTTTTGAACTTTTGATTCTTGCAAACAGATCTGAAATATATGAGTTTAACTTGAACTTCTGATTCTTGTAGATTTTGTAGTTTATAGACTTACAGTTGCACAGAGAGAGAGGGCAAGTTCAGAGTCGAGAGAATAGAGATGGAGATTGGAGGAGATTGGGGAGGCTGAGGCTCAGATTTAGGGCAAAAAAACTAAAAAAATAGGTATATATATATATATAATTATATATGAGGAATGCTAAGGACAGCCGCTCATCTCATTGACTACTTTAAATCTATTTAATTATTCTTTCTTTACTCTCAAGGAATGTGAAATATTTAATCTACTTTAAAACAAAACTTACCTTTAAAAGACAAAACTACCCTTTAAATCCTTTTTCATTACATTTCTTGTATCTCCTCCCTCAATCCATATATGTGTAGTATATATATATTTTTTACTACCTTTATTTCTTTCCTTTTTATTTCAATTGTTGCGACTAGTTAATTATTTCCTTCTTCTTTTTTCTTTTTTTCCCTTTTTTTTCTAAATTGTTGCCATTAGCCTTTTTTCCGTCCTTCCTTTCGTTTTTTTATTTTTTTATTTTATTTTTATTTTTTTAAACCAAAACAAATAAGAACATGGGAATGTTCACCAAATTTAGAAAAAAATTTAAGAACAGGGCGACAATTGAAATAAATTTTTTGTAATGAATATATTCTTTTTTAAGTCCATCATATTTTTTAGTATACCCTCAATTCATTTTTTTTTTTTTTCTAAATCCCCTGTTCTTATTTGTTCTGGTTTAAAAAAAACAAAAAAAAATTGAAAGGAAGGATGGAAAAAAGGCTAATGGCAACAATTTTGAAAATAAAAAGGGAAAAAAAAAAAAAGAAAAAAAGGAAGAAAAAAAATAGCTACTGGCGACAATTGAAATAAAAAGGAAAGAAATAAAGACAGTAAAAAATATATATATACTGCACGTATATGGATTGAAGGAGTTACCTTTGTCTTAAAGTAGGTTAAATATTTCACGTTCCTTGATAATAGAGAAAGAGTAATTAATGAGATTTAATGGGGAGCAAAAAAATTAATCCACACTTTCTATATAGACCGTTAAGTTTAATCTAACGGTCATTTTTCAAACCCACCTATGACCTTTCCTTTTAACAGAAAACTACCATCACTCTATTTTTAGTTTCTATATTTAATTTTACCATTACCACTTACTGTAATAATAAAAGGTAATTATCAACTTTCACTCCATTTCTTGGTGCGTGGCTGAATTTGAATCCATGGACAAAAGTGACAAATGATTTCTCTCTATGAATAAGGTTGTGATAGGAGCTTCACCCATTTTTTTTGGGTTACCTTGTTGTTTCTGAGGTGGATTCTACGTCTTACCATAGTCAGTACATCATTATTATCCGATAATCAAACTCATAAATTCACAGATTCAATAATGAATTTCACCAAATGCTCAACTTTAAATTGAAATAGAAAGAATTTTTGTTCAAACTTTAAATGAAATTTTCTTCAATTTCAATTCCAATTAATCAATTCGATATTCTAAAATGCAATATTAACAGTATATTTGTTGATAAATTTACTTATACTAGACAAGTATATTATAGTTGCAAAATTGATGTTTCTTAGGAAAATGATATAATATCATACTGTTGTTGCAAAATTGATGTTTTTTGAAAAATGCTATAATATCACACTGTTGTTGCAAAATTGAAAGATACGGGTATTTTTTTCTTTCAAAGAAATATCTAAATAAAAATAATTTTTTAGTAAAATATACTGATATTTTTTTTTTTTTTCAAAGGTTTCTATTTTTATTTTGATAATTAGTAGGTGATAATGGTAAAATTAAATATAGAAACTAAAAATAGGGTAAGAGTAGTTTTGTGTTAAAAGGAAAAACCATGGGTGGGTTTGTAAAATGACCGTTAGATTTAATATATTAAAAGTGTGGATTAATTTTCTTACTCCATAGATAGTAAGAAATCAGGACTCATAGTCCGTGTGTGTGTGTATATATACGGTTTCGGTTCTTACCAGTTCCCACTAGCTGGAACCGGAACAGGAACCGAAATCGGAACTGTATGTCCACGGTTCCTAAATTTGGAACCGGGACCGGAACTGAAACAGTGAGAACCGAAAAATACGATTCCGGTTCTCACGGTTCCGGTTCTTTTTATGGGGTAACGGTGGAGGGGATCTAAGTCCAAATCAAAATCTTCTTTAATAAAATGTCTCTATAACTTAATTTCACCATTTCCAAACTTCGCAATTTTGAAATTAAGAAAATTAAATGATGAATTTCACTATTATTATCGGTGAGTAAAAATAGGTGTATTTATATATCATTAGAGCAATGAAATTTGGCTATAAAAATTGAAGAAATTGCTATAAAAATTGAAGAAATTTCAATGAAAATAGTGTGAGTTATACATACCTCTGTCAACTTGCCATGTACACCAAAACTTGCCATACGTCTGGGCAAGATCTTCAAGTTCAGAAGTATGAATCATCTCCGGGACACGTGGATTCACCCAGAGCCCAGATTCTATCTGCACCGCCCGATTTTTTTTTATTGCAACATTATCCTTATTACTTCATTAATTCATGAAGCAATACTAGTAAGAAAGAAAAAAAAAAGAAAAAGAAAATAACAATATAATAATAGAGAGGGATAAAAGGAAAAGGATGAATGCAACCTCATAAGCATGGGAGTGCCAGAGCTTCTGTTCCTCAGGTGGCAGTGTCTCAAATACCCGATCAGATACTATATATTCCACTCCTACAAATAGATGGTCACGATTACTCACACATGTGACACAACCATACACGACTAGATCATTTGCAGTGAAGGAGCCGCAGAAGATCCAGACTCGTGCTTAGAGATTTAGGTGTAAACAGAGATCGAGGAAGATAAGTTACCGATGAGATGAGCGTTGGAATCATCAGAGTCATAGACAGCGCACTGGAGGAAGTCCTGGTTGAGGCGAGTGACGTAGTGGTGAGTCTCGATCTGGCGAGTCATGTCGTGACTGTACAAGGCGAAGGTACACACGTGTTGCTTCATCTGCCTCACCGGCTTCAGAGACTGCATCATCTGAGCACCTTTGTCCAGCATCTGCTGCGACACCGTCATCGGCTTCCCCGGCGGCATAGACCCGTCTCCCGGCGGCATCGGACCCGGTGATCTGTCACTGGACGCCATTCAATCAACGCCGCTGATTTTATCTATATTCTTTGTATGTCTTCTCTTAATTTGCTAGTATGGTACCTGATATGTAAGGGATGAAAGTAGTGTGAGATGAAACGGTGGCTTATAAGAATGGAGTGGTGGCATGTAATACGTGGGGAGTTATTTGGGTACCACGTGGACATGTTTGAATGTTGAGGTGGCTGAAATTTTTGAAAAGCTGTCGCCACGTGGTGAGAGATTAGAGACCCTTGGCCACAAAGGAGAAACTGTTGGGAGCATATTGACTATGTAACACTCTGATACATGATATATATCTATATATATATATATATATATATATTCAAGACAATTCGATACTAGATGACAATGACAAATTTGGATTTGAAAAGAACAAAATAAAATTGTTAATAATTATTAAATTAATAAAAAATAATAAAAATATTAACAAATTAAAAATATATATATATATATATTTCAGAAAGAGTAAGAATTAAAATTTGACAATTCAAAACAATTTGAGAAGAGAATACTGTAGAAATCAAATGTTTAGACCGATTAACGATACCACTATATACATAAATGATTAATACTTAATTTTATATGGATTCACAGATATTCCCTTTTAATAGAGAGATCAAATGTTTAGACCCAATCATGATCAACATCTATCAAAGTGATATATTTTGTTCTAAAAAAGAAATAAAAGAAAAAATTACTATGTTTTTCCATGTTCTGAAACTCATACAAATCTCATTGACTTATATATAAACAAGAGATTTTTTAACAATATAACACATTGACATAGATAAATATAACATTTTGCAGGAAAAAAAAAAAAGAGAAAAAAGAACTGTTCATGCGCACACATGTATAAGAGCATGGTTTAGTTTAGGGGCACAAGGATATTAGATAATGTACATAATGACTTAATTAAAATTTAAATTAAATTTATTTCAATTCTAAATTTAAAGGGTCGATTAGACAATACATAAAAGGTTTGGAAACCCTTATTTCGCTTACTTGATACGATAATTCTCAAAAAGTTGCTAATGCGGTCCTAGAATTCTCAAAATGATCAAAGATTTAATTGTCAATCAGCTATGATAGTTAAAATTTCCTCTTTAATTATTAAAATACTTTTAATATTTTACAAGTTATTTATGGATTAAAATCCAACACCATCTACATATACACTTTATTTCTCTTGATCTCTCTGTATAAACTCATTCAGGGACTAGTAGTCACTGAAGTTACCATCGCATAGTTTACGTACAATAATATGGATATGCAATTTTGGCAATTGTCATGTTGATGGGGTGTCTAAAATAACGAATTACGGACCCTTATTTAGTGAAAGCTGTGTTGATTAGCGTGATGCCAAATCCAGTTTGGAGTTTATAATTAAGCATTATTAATCACTTTAATTACTTAGAAACAATATATGAAAATGATATCATGTTTTCCATGTTAAACGAGATTAACATTATCTAATTGTCTTCTTTATAGAGTTGGCCGGTTTAAGGAGATATAAATGTCTCAATTATAATCTTTTGTGTTATTTGTGTAGAGGAGCATTCAACTTAATCATCATGCTTAACGAAACAAAAATTAAAAAGAAAGAAAAGAAAAGAGAGTAGAACATCATATTTTTCAAAGGGCATCAAATGTAATTAATTAAGCATTGGCGCGCATATATTTGATGCCACCCATCTTTCACTGCAGAGTGGAAAAAATATATCCAAATTTTCTACATCAGAACCAAGCAAATTAATACAGAGAAAAAAACTTGATAAAAAAAAAAAATAATAACACACTTAAAAAACTTGAAAATAAACACACATCTAAAATTCAGTTTTCATCTAGTGGCTTCTCCATTTATAAATTCTCCGTCGACTTCAGCTCATAACTCTTGTTATAATTCTGATCATCTGAAATATTCTCCGGGCTCTGTGGCCTGTACTGGTATCTCTTGGCCACAAACAAATAGGTCAAGAAATTTATTGAGCTAAGTATAGACAACAACCAGTAGAACAGATTCAGATCATTCTTGTTGATGTTATTTCCTCCTAACCATCCACCACTGTTAGTCATTCCCTTCGTGGACCGATTCACTATCTTCACAACTATAGTGCTCAGAAAATACCCAAGTGCCATGGAGATCCAGAGGAAGCAAGTAGAGATTGATTTCAGCCCTTTTGGTGCTTGTGAATAGAAAAATTCAAGAAGACCAACATATGTGAACATGTCTGCTATACCAAAAATGAAGTACTGGATTGATAGCCAGAAAACGCTAATGGGGAGTGGCTGCAACACTGGGAGTGCATCTAGCATATTGTGTTTTCTTGCGACCTCTTTTCGCTTCACTTCCAGCAGTCCAGCAGCTGCCATGGACACGGCAGAGAGAATTAGGCCGACCCCAACACGTTGCAGGTGAGTTATTCCAGTGGGGTGGCCAGTGATCTTACGGGCAAAGGGCACGAATAAGCAGTTGTAGACTGGGATGATGATGATCAAGAAGACGACGGGGATGATGGGGAGTGAAGCTGGTGGTATGTTGAAATGTTTGTTGATACTTGTGTCCATGGTGAGGCCTTGTTGGATGGAGAAGGTTTGAAGTTGAGCCAAGCAAAGAGTCATGATAATGGTGCAACAGAAGATTGGGACCATTCTAAGTATGATTTTGGCATTCTCTACTTGGGTGACCCTGCAAAGTTTCCATGGACTAACTGTTTCTGGTGTTCCATGTTGTGTTGGTGATGTTTGGATGGCTGCTTTGTCTAGGAACCTAAAATTAAAACAAATTTATGAAGTAATTGTTACATATATATAGGTACCAAACAAAAAAAGTAAGGATCATCTCTAGCGCTGAAGAGGGTCATGTACTCCATTAAAGGTGAAGATTGCATCATCAAGTGATCTATGATGGTCCACTCTCAACCCTTGATGGTGTAATCTCCACCCTTGATGGAGTATAGACCGTCTCTAATGCTAGAGAGGATCCAAGTTAAAAAAAAAATAGGAGAAAAAAAAAAGGTACCTGAAACCATCACTGTGAGGAAGAAATTCTGCTTCTATTGCGGCTTCCTTGTCCCTATTGATCTCATACAGCTCTGTAGGGTCCTCAGGAAGTTGAAGCTTTCTATTAAGGATGGCTGCTACATACACCTAAAAGCAACATGAAACACGGACAAAATCAGTACTTATGTATATTACATACATAAAACATGTTCTCTTGATTTATGAATTAACTATGTGTGTGTGTGTGTGTGCAAACCTGAATAATTTCAGTGATGGCACTACTTCCTTGAAAAACATGTATGCGGTAGCGTGGCAATCCAGAAACAAAGATGATGACAGCCAAGAGCATGGCAACAGTTGAGATCCCAAATCCCCAGTCCCATCCCTTGTTGTCTTGGATCCACACGATAAGGGTTAGACTAGCTGCGCCGCCTATGCACACTGCTAGCAAGAGCCAGTTGAAGAAACTGGACATCTGTTTCGCTTCTCGTGGATCTTTCTCATCAAATTGATCAGCACCATGTGTTGGCAACCCAGCTTTTAGTCCTGAAGCGCCAATGGCGATCATGTATAGGGCGGCGAAGAGGAGTGCAGCGTTGCCGCCATCAACTTGGTGACAGCTTGCCGTTGGATCAAAAATGTTGCAGGGAGGTGGCTTGAGTTTGGAATAGTGAGCTTGTATTGTTAGTAATGCAAGTCCCTAGATGAACATTGAAAAGTAGTCATCAATTACCAGTTATATATCTATGAGTTCAAAGGCTAAAAATGTATAGTGGAAGGCTGAGACTGTTTGATTCAATTCTTTAAAATAGTTCTTTCTTAACACACCCTCACACACTTCTGTCCATATGAAAACTCGATCTTCTACTTTGAAAGGTGAAAGAAGTACAATACGTTGGTGGTAGCGATGTTATATGTATAACATTAGTCAATTATGCCTTTTATCAACTCGGCTGTCTGAAAACAATTATCAGAAAAAAGTTTTGAAAGCCCTATATATTCTTATATCATCATATCTTATTCACTATTATATGTACTTGTAAATATATCTATATATGAAACATGAAGATTTAGAGTACTGATGAAGCATATATACCATGAATTCAATGCATGCTGAAATAGAAACAGTCATAAATCTGCCGATGTAAGCGTCTGCAAGGGAGGCCATGAGGATGGCTAGAATGTAACTAGTACCCATGTAGTTTGTTAGCTGATTAGCAGCATCAGCCATTATAAAGTGCATCACTCTATTGAAGTATGTCACCAAATTTACTGCTAGTGCAAGAGTTGCCAAGTTCTCGAAAGCAAAAGCAGCTGCAACACACAAAGTGGAACATATATATATAAAACAGAAATATATAGCTAGCTCAATACATTATAAACTGCATGACTTTGCCATGATAAAATTCATAGCTAAAAGATGATATTCGTGACAAAAAAAGTTCTTTATAGAAACATATTTTATATAAGACCTTGATTAATTGCTTTAGGTCATGGGAAATTAGAAACTCAATATTGCATAAAAACTGTGTTTTGCCACAAATGCCTGTTGAGGAGACAAGCCTTATATTTTGCCATGCCAAAACGTTAAGCCTTTTTTTGTCGCGGCAAATCTTCATGGCAAAAAAAGTAAAGATTATTGTCACCTAGGACAAGCAACGAAGTTTGTGGTCCTCCATGCTTATCCTTCCTTGCTGTTCTTCCCTTCCAATCCACCTTTCCTTCAACAAGCTCAGCTTTTTCCTGCAAGTAAATTAGGGAAACATCAGGGGTACAGGAGGAAAATAAGAATGAACAATGAACACAAAAAAAAAAAAAAATGAAGAAGGAGATGTTTTTGAGATGAAGTCAAAATTACAATACCATAGCTAAGTAACTGCTAAGGTATTATTAATTTAAGTGAGCTGCAAAAGAAAATGATGAGAATGGTGGAAGCTGAGATAGAGGTATGTATATATATAATGGTTTGGAATCCCATATGTGATACCAGTGAGCCCTGGATGAGTTATGACCACTTCTTAGGACCAAAATACCCTCTTTTGTTGGAATGTAATGAACCTATTGCAGAATGTTGCCGACTTGGGGTGAGAGAGATCCTGATGACTCAGTCCACATCCGTCAACAGGAAACTAACGAAAGCGATATGTCAACATGCATATTACCATTACATAGTACGGTTAATTGAAATAAGTTCATGATAGTTGAACGTTACGGTCACGGTATGTTTGATGATGTTGAATTCGCATGGTGTTTATTAGACCTATATCATCTAACGGCTAAAAATGAACAATTACACACAAATAAGTGACCGTAGTTACACTCCATCTTGACAATTATATATTTGGCCATCATTCTCAAGTATGTAGAATATTTTACATAATAACTTTTAGATTTGCCTGATATTGGTAATGATCAATGGTTTTGTTCAAAGAAGTAGAGTTAAAGAAGCAATATGACATCAACAAGTGTGAAAGGTGTTTAGAATGATTATGAATGAATCAATAACAAGATTACAAGGAGAAAGACGAGCGAGTGCATGTTTCCAAATGTGTCGCAATACTTTTAAGCTTATATTAATTCGTGTAGAGAGCTTCTTTTTCTCTTGGACACAAGCTAGTGCCCTTTGTCCTTGGTAAACTATCAAACAAATAGAATGCTCAAGAAATTAAGTTATTAAACAAGGATGAAAATAACACAACAATTAATTTAGACAAAAATGCGAGTTCAAGAGGAAACATATTCTAAGGCTTTAATTAATTTAGGTTTCGTTTGTTTGGACGTAAAATATTTTTCAAAAAATATTTTTTTATTTTCAGGTGTTTGGTTGTCGTAAAATATTTATGAAGAAAAAAATATATTAAAATTTAATAAAAATAACTTATCCATCAAATTTCGACAAGTTATTTTACATGCCGTGTCCAATGGACTCGACCTCAACCTTGACGTAAATCTTTGCCAAACACCGACAAACTAAAAACAAAATAATATTTTACCTGAAAAAAAAAATATATTTTTCAAAAAGAATATTTTACGTGGAAACAAAAGGAACCTTAATATCGGTCTCCACGGGACCCATTCAATCTTAATTTTACAAAAAAGGGGTGATTGATGTTGATATTTAGGTAAAAAAATAACGAAATGCTGACAATAACATTTAAATACAATTTTCATATTAACAATGTAATTCCACAAAATCATTGTTAATTGGTGATGCATTATTAACGTTGAGGTTTTCATGACTTGGTCAGGGACCGCTCCCAAATTTAGCTGTGTATATCAGCAATTCTCTGATTTTTTTATTTTTTATTTATTTTTTTGCGGAAGGTATCCCCGTCTCCAACTTAAAAACAAAAGCTTGTCCAAATTGCTTCCTAAAAAGGTATGGACTTTAAACTGCATCTTAAATGAAGACTAAATGATATAATAGAAAATTTACAATAATGTATTCCAACAATGTCATTCATTACAAACAGACATGTACGTGGTGTCTCAATAATTTCAAAAACCATATATTTTTTTCTCCTTGCAAATAAATTAAGCATATCGATTTTGTTCTTTTGAAGACTTGTTAGCTCTTAATCATGGACGGTAAAAAATATACCACGGCCTTTGTTAATCTCTATATATTTTGAAGCACTATACTTTCGTCATTGACAGAGAATTGACCTAAAGAAGTTACGAATTCGGTCTAGCGGAAGCCTTGCCTACCTGAACTGACCATGAATAATCTTTGGGAAAATGACAAATTTCTCAGCCAGACTCCCGAGCAAAATCTTTGTGACTTTATGAAAAATTAGATAAATTCAACTTATTTCAATATCCACAGATTCCATCTACATTTCATAATTTCACTTCCCTATAATCTTACTTATCTCCCTTGTTAGTGATCAAAATGTCAATTTTGTCATTTCAACACTTGAAATGATATCAAATATTTCTTGAACAAAACGGCAAAATAACACATTCCGAAACAAAAGAGAATGAATCTATATAAAATATTGACAAATGTCAAAAACTATAGGTAAAATTTACCCTTTAAAATTTGAAACACTCCCCCATAAATATGGCCACTAGTGACCGTAATGTTGGATCCATCTTTGTACTTTGTAGAGATACGAAAGTAGCATGCTACCCAATAGCTCTTATGGTCCAGCGCTCGCCCAAATTCTTAACGAACGGCTTGGGCCGGGCCTATGCCTGGCCTGTGCACTGAGTTGTAAAGAATGTTCAGAAAAGCAAAATGGGGATGAGTACTTTACTTCAAAACTGTTTAGTAACAAATTAGAAAACAGCAATGTTTTTACAAAACACCAATGTTTTTACGTACTTATTCGGTATTTCTTAAATGTATTTATAATTTTAAAATATATTTTTAATTTTTAACACATATTTAATACTTCAACTGATTATCCAATACTTTTTAAATATTTTATAATATATTTTTAATAAGTTTTAAATATTAAAATGTAACTTTTCTAACAATAATAATATAGTATAATTATTATGAAAAGTGCAAAATTAATTAAGTAATTAATATGGATATTTGTTTTATATGTTGTGAAACGAACTATTATGTTATATAATGATTCTATTTGGATGTATTTTTTGTATATAAAAAATATATTTATTATTATCATTTTTTGCCGTATTCCGTCATACTTGTATCTTTTTTATTTTTCCTTTTTTTTTTAAATAAATTTTTTATATCACAATATCATATCATATTGTATTTGCATTTTGTATATATATCCGTATCCCTGCAGCAAACATTTATGAGTTGTCAACTTTGAGATTCAATAAATTTATTGTAAGTACTTCCTTCTATATTATGTGGGTTAGGGACCCAATTATTTTCTAATCATTTATTTAATTTAGATAGAAGCTAACAGTAACGTTAGTAAGAGAGATTTCTAGGGACAAGAATTATTAGCTCTTTATATTTAATAAAAATTATTTTAAAAAATCAAATAAATTATTTAATAATTTTTAATTTAACAGTTAACTATTTAGAGTTCACAATTATTGTCATTAAGAAGATCTCTCTTGACAATAATACTTTAATTAAAAATTAAGTTGAAATCAAACAAAATAAAGTAAATAAAAAAAATCCTCAAATAATAATAATAAAAAAAAATTAACATATATTTTTTAGAGGTAATAAAACTTTTAACATGTAATTGATTATTATGAAATTTTTTCAAGAAACGAAAATTTTATATTTCATAATTTGGTATGCATTAAACTTACCACAAAAGAAACAACATTTTATTGTAAATTTATAAAACTTTTTTAAAAAATTAATATTATTTTGTATTTTTTATATGAAAATTTTATGACTGTTATTCAAATTTCTAAAGTGTGTATAATATTTTTTTACTTATTTTCATTTTTGTTATTTCTATAACAAAAATGTCTAACTTAGCAACTGTATAGAAGACAACTGTGCGTTAATTGTAAATCCAGTAATCGACCTTCTTGGCCTCCTTCGATTCTTCCCTTCCACTTGGAACCTCCTAATTGAAGTAACGAAACCCTAACCCAGCTCCAACCTCTGCCATATATATATATCTAATGGAAGATTCTAAATCAAACACAAGCGACGACGAAGATCGTTTCTTCGACGCTGCTGATGAATTCCCATTCTACGATTGCGTCGACACCGACGAATCAGATCAACCTATTTCACACGCTTCCTCAATTTCTCAGCTTGTACCAATCGAACCCATCAAGTCCCCATCGGAAATTGTTTCTCCGACTGGACTCCGGCGCCGGAGATCCTTCTCTCAACACATTCGCAAAGACATCTCCGGCAATGATTCCAAAAGGTCAAACCCTGATCCTTCGGTAAGTTCCGAAACCAATCAGACTCATGACGCCATTACCACTACTACTACGCCTAGGGAAAGAAAGTACAGATTTTCCAGGAATTTGAAGGAAAGTGAGGGGGAGGGCGAGAAATCGGAGTCATTTAAGGTTCGGTTCAGCTCAGGAAGAGCCAGTGATAGCATAAACGAAGAGAACAAAGAGAATTCTACTATAACGGCTGCGAATGGTGAAAGAATTGATGAGTCTGTTGCAGTTGATTCACGTCCAGGTGAAATTGATGAGTCTTCGAATTTTCTGTTTCTCTTAGCTAAATTGCTGATTAAAGCCATCGGTTTTCAAATCAGTTTATTAGTTAGCTTTTTCACATTTCCAATATGGATATTGTATTGCTCATACATGTTTGTGATTGATCCATTTCGAGCTGTAAGGCGTGGGAGAGAGTATTTGACAGGGAAGTTGTTGAGAGTGTGGGGTGTTGTGTGTGAAAATGTTACACCTTTCGTATATGAATGGTTGAAGGAACATAAATCAACATGGATGTTGGCATTGCGGTTTGGCTGGGGATTGTTGTGGTCGGCTTATGTTTGCTTCATTTTGGTCAGTTTACTGGTTTTGGCATTTGTAGTAAGTGGTATTATGATGAGGTTCTTGGTGGAGGAGCCTATTCGGATAAAGGAGACACTGAATTTCGATTATACAAAGAACAGTCCTGTTGCGCTTGTGCCAATAATATCTTGTCTGGATGCATCTAGCAGTGAGTATCATAAGGAAAAAAATGAGGTAGAAAGGATTGGGGGGCCACGGGTTGTACATGCAAATCACAAATTGCAGGCTACTGTTTCATTGACATTACCAGAGTCGGATTACAACAGAAATCTCGGGATCTTTCAGGTATGTTTTTCGTTATTCAAAGGATGGTTTATGATTAGTTTTCAGAAGTTGCCTCTTTTTTGTGTCTGTTTGTAAGCATGTTGCCAGCATAATAGTATTAGTTGTGCAATTTTTATTTTTTTCTTTTTTCCATTCGTGTTAGACTTTGTGTGAATATTGAATTATGAATTGGTACGAGTTATGTCTCTTATGACAATTGAAACAACTTGCTATGCTGATATTGTTTTTGTGTGGTCAATCTCCACTTGCATAGCTATATTAACTTCTTTCAAATTGCCAATATCACTTCTGAGGTTCATAGGTTATCCCCATAGCTTTATTTCTATAATATGTTTTCCAAAATGATCTTAAATAGCCTTAAATCATTGCAAAATATTGTTCTGTGCTTCAATTGTCAAACATCCTGTACTTTCACAGTTTGGAAAAAGAAGGGGGATGAGCCTAAAATTAATATTGCACCTGAGTGGAAAGGTGCCACCTTTCCAGTTGCATCTGAAATATGAGAATTCCTGAAAGAATTGCATAAGCGATGCTATTTGATGTACAGTTAACTAACCTGGTTGGCTCATCTTTTCGGCATTATTTACGATTGACCAATGAATGTGTTAAAGAGACAGGACTCAGGAGGTGCCATATAGAAAGTATCTATAGAAGCTTGGATGAGATAACACCATATTAGTTTCATATTTATGGCAATTGTATAATATGTGAACTTCAAGCACTTGTTATTGTTCAACACCCCACTCCCCTGCCCAATTGTTAGACATTTCCCCAAGATTAACCTATTTTATTATATAAAGAAACCTATGTCCATTGTTCTTGGATTTTTATAAAACTTAGTTATTCTTGGGCAAGGTTTTGAGACAATAAGACTCTTAATTAAGGATTCTCCAAATGTTGATATGGTGATGTGGTCTGGCAAGAGAATATGATAGTTACAAGAACCGGTGGTCCCAAATAACTAGGATCATGGCTAAAACTTGCAAAACCTGATTTTTGAGCAGATTTTTTCAGCGCAAGAGGGTCGAATACCTATAATCACAGGGCTCAAAACCAAGCATTTGAGAAGAAGAAGAAAGGGGAGAAGAAAATTAACTATTTCAAATTTGATTTTCTCTCACAAAATTTCTTAATTGTAGTTATGTGTATAGAATGGTTAAGGAGTTTAGTTTATATTGAAATAGTTAAAATGACCTAAAACTAGATGACAAGTAGCTCACTGGCAAGTTTCTCAACAAAAAGTAGGTGACATTAAGATGCGTATCTTGCAAACAGCTTCGTTGATGACAAGTAGTTCAAAACAAGCATCCTCGATCCAAGCAGCCTCTTCTTTTCTTTAAGGCGTGATGGAGAGCATTAGCATTCTTCTCATCCAAAATAATTCCTCAATCCCAAATCCCAATCACTCTGAAATACAGAAGAATGCAATTTGTAAAAGAACCATTTTCTTACTTTTTTTTTATATTTTTTGTGTGCGCTTTTTTTTCCCCTTTTCTTTTCCTAATTTTTGCTCTCTCTCTCTCTCTCTCTCTCTCTCTCTCTCTCTCTCTCTCTCTCTCTATATATATATATATATATATATATATATATATATATATATTGATGAGTAGAAGTTTGTTGGATTTCTATCCATTGCCAAATTTGTTGCACTAAATTTTAAATATTGTCAGTCATCTAATAGTTTGATATTTCATTTTGAGTAGTTAACATCCCTGTCTGAAGTAAGCTTATGTAACTTGTCAATCATGTTTTCTCTCTAAAGGTCAAGGTAGACTTCCTCTCTGCTAATGGGAAGGCCCTTGCAAGTTCACGCCGTCCATGCATGCTGCAATTCAAAAGCCAGCCTATCCGTCTGCTATTGACTTTCCTTAAGGTTGCTCCTCTTGTTGCTGGTTATGTATCGGAATCCCAAACTCTGGACATAAAATTTAGTGGTTTTATTGAAAGAGAGATACCTACTGCCTGCTTACAGGTGGTAATTGAACAAAGAGCAGAATATCGGCCTGGTGCTGGTATCCCTGAAATATATGCTGCATCTCTAATACTCGAGTCAGAACTTCCACTGCTGAAAAGGATTTTGTGGTATTGGAAGAAAACAATTTTTATATGGATTAGCATGATGATTTTCACAATGGAATTATTCTTTACTCTACTATGCTGCAAACCTATAATTATTCCAAGGGTAAGGCTGAGGGATGGTTCTGCTAACAATAGTGCTCCTCAAAACAATCACCCAGTTCAAAGGTAGCTTTTAGACGTTGGCTTCTGAGGACTTTTGTGATGATAGAAGTAATGGTTTGATCTTTCATGGCTGTTGTAAGCATTTTCTAACACTTTTGTTTATATACAGTTCCCTAACTTTAATTTTGCACAAATATTTTAATTCATTCAACCACAGAACTGTGTCTGTGCCATGATAACTATAATTGATGTACAGTTTTGATATTGGAAAAATATATATAACTCTGCATGTGTATATTGCTCAATTCTCAAATAACTGTTTCTTTCTTTAGTTATCTTGTAAATAATGGAAGAGAAGAAACATAATATGTAGTATTCACAACACATACGAAAATGGTTTCGAATAGCACTAACAAATTTTCGTATACAGGTGGATTGGCATGAGGAGATTCTGGGGAGTTCAAAAAAATGTTATGTGGACATATTTGCTTGCAGTGTTGCTTTATTCTTATTATTTATTTATTAATTTGTTTCCTTTTTCCTATTTACAGCTATATTATTGATGCGAGCATGGCACTTGTAATTCTTTTTCCTTAATTTCCTGTGCATGTCTAATTGTATGTTTTGCATTGATAAATTCTGTAAATAGATAATAGAAGGCAGTGATGATGTAACTCAATGAAATCCTTCGTCACCTGGAGATAAACCACCTGTATTATAGGCTTATCACTTTTTATTAAGGTAACTATGCACAAGTGGCTACATTTTCAATAGGCTGTGGCTAATATGGCCTGTATATTGTCTTTTAGGGATATATGTGGCTAATAATTATATCAACTCCAAGTACATTATGCATTTGTTTAGCTTGTTGCAAGTCTGGTGTTTGAATGACCAGTTATGTGCATGATGCCTATTTAGTCTTAACACTCCTCTGCCCCCCGAAAAAAACCCTAAGATGTTACAGAGACTGTTGGTAGTATCTGTTGGATGGCACTAAAGATTGGGTTAGGGCACTTGTGTGTGAATAGCAACCATATCACTTGAACTTGTATATTACATCCCTTCGTTTCAGATCTCCGTAGCACGTGAGATATTTTGATTGCATGAACATAGAATAGGGGTTCCTCTCCACATAGTATTTGACTAGGTATGCAGTAATATTTCTCGATTAATTTTGAAGGAAACTATCATATGTTATTTTTATTTTTTTAATCATTTTATGTTAAATTATGCATGCTATCTTGAATTTGGTGTGTGTGTGTGTGTGTGTTTTCACCAATCAATGCATACAGCACACTGTGCTGATGGATGGGATCATGCAAGTTCTACTGTTGAACAATTTCAGGACAGGTATGTGTACCCTTCTTTGTTTATAAAATAGAATTCATGTTACCTCAATTGAATCTTATAAATAGTTGCGAATGTCATGTGTTGCTAAAGCAGTCCCAGTCTTTAAATTACTCTTGTTTATGGAATTACAATTGAACATAAGAAAAAGTTCATGTTCCTTCATCTTCATCTTAGTATACACCAAGTGCGACACTTGAAAGTTATATTTCCATTGACACAGAGTACCGCGCTTGATATTTCAACCCATGAATACGCATATCATAAATTTTACTTGCTTCCACTAAAGTCTCTCATCAGGATGCAACACATTCATTGATGGAAATAACTCTTAAAGACTAAAAATTTATTTAATTTCTATTACAAGTTCCTATATGAATATTTAGTTGACATTTCTTGGTCAGTTCGATCCGTTGCTTCTGACGCTCTTGAGGAAAGAGCCACTCTTGGTGATTTCACGCAGGGGCTTGTTGGTGAACCTGATGATATTGTAGACCCAAGCACCTGCTATGGCCCCAAAGGTTGTTGCTACTAGGTATATCCATATACCCCTGTATTGGTTCCACACAATTGCTGGCCCCAAACTTCTTGCAGGATTCATCGATGCTCCTGAAATTGGCCTGTCAACTGAAATGTCAGTACAATCTAGAGGCATACTCTCACCAACAACTCCGGATTTCTTTTTGTGGGTAGGAGTTGACGTTATGATGACATGATAAGACTGATCTCATCATGACGTCAGTCTTTACTCACATGAAATAGTCAAACTAGTCCGATTATCAAATTACATAACATTTTTTGAAAATAAATGGTTCAAGGTAGAGATATGGTGGTATGTGCCCCAGCTAACAAAAAACAGTCATGTTTGAATTCTAAATATCGGACTACATATCATTTTCGTAGATTAATAGTTCAAGATTACAAAAAACAGTTAGATTTGTTTGAACTCTGAATATCGGATTACATATCATTTTCGTAGATTAATAGTTCAAGACTTTAAGTAAGGACATTGGAATGGTCCGGCTTCTGTGATTGAAGTTTAGGTGGGCATTGCAATAAGATAAAAAAGAGAGAGAATTTAATACCCTGCAAACATGACATTAAGCAGAACTGTAGACCCAACCGCAAGTCCCGCAAGTTCTCCAATCTGCACCAACAAACAAAAAAAGGAAATAAATTATGTATTGATGATGGATAAGGTCCACATCATCGATAATAAGGTAAGAATAACGGCATCTAAAAGTCATTGTCATAAATGTTTCTTGAACATTTAGGCTTGTATTTATTAGTTAAGATTAATTCGTATTTATTAATATTGGGTTAAAGCGTTGGCAAGTAAGCCATCCAATTCTTAATGATTCTCATATCCTTTATATATATATATATATATATTAATAGTAGTATTATATATTTAGGTTTGAAAATTGAATGAATCATTGAAGAGAGAAGAGTACTAACAGCTCGATTATCTGTGGCGACACCAGATATGACAAACATGAGGTAGAATGTGATTATGAACTCCAAGACGAAAGATTGCATGTCCGACCCGCCCGGAAGTGTGCCGGCAAAATGATTCTGCTCCCCGCTAAATATTAGCCGGAGGGTTCCGCTTGCCAGAGTTGATCCTAGGACTTGAGCAGATACATAGGCTGGCACCTGTGGTTGAAATTCAATGTTGAACATTATTAGGACAACATGCAAGATTTGAATTTTAGGGAACATCTAAGGAACAACCCACTTAGAATCATTGACAAATTGGTACATGAGGGAGTGGTTTAAATGTGACATGTTTTGGCGCCTTACAATCGTTAAAATACTTCTTAATCATTAAAATGATATACTAATACAATAGTTGGATAAGATCAACTAGTGATAAAACTTACATACTATTCAATTTTGAACAGTTTTAACCTGACATTTACCCACGTGGTCCCAAATTAGTCTAAAAAGTCGGTTAGCTTTGTTGTTTCTTTCAAGAGAGTACCGGGCTAATGTGATGTACCTGTTTCAATGGAAACCTTTTGCAGGTTGCGAAGGCAATGGTGACAGCGGGGTTAAAATGGGCACCGGAGATGTGGCCAACAGAGTACACCATTACCATCACAACCAGTCCCCAGACGATTGATATTCCTGGATGTGACACCACCTTGCCCTCATCGGAATTCACCACCACCGCGGCACAGCCGGCAAATATCAAGAAGTAAGTCCCCAAAACCTCCGCTATCAGCTGTATCCAACAAACAAACGATTCACTTATGAGAACTTTGACTAGTTGAATTCTACTATATGGGGATTAATCGAGAGACAAGATTGAATTCAATCAAATTAAAATAAGGTGTTACTCGATTAATTTGCCAATAAAATCAAGGAAAAGAAGAAATCAAAACAATTCATGTTTTGATGTTTGGTTATTGGAGAAAATGAAAGAAAAACTCTCAACTTATATAAGACAGAATAGACTATAGGAGATAAGAATGGAGAGAATTATTTTAAATACCTTTGTTTTCCTTAGGTTTATAATTAATTAGTGACCAAATTAAGTATGATTGTTGAATAATATGAAAAGCAAAGCAAAATGAAAAGAAGGATCACCTTTTGCATGAAAGGTATGGTAACAAAGCTGCTGCCTCCGGAGTCTCCATCGTTTTTGGATGCTGAGGCAGGAAGGTTGTGATTGACGTGATCACCATCTTTAATATTCAAAACCACTCCATGGTTACCATTTGCTCCTGATATCTCAGCCATCACTTTTATATATCAAAAATATTCTAGAGAGAGAGAGAGAGAGTTATAGAGAGAGGGAGAGAGATTTCTCAGGTATTGGTGTTTCACCGTGGAGTGAACAAGAGTACCACAAAACTTGTGCACATCTGGATAGAGCCCATACATAATATATAGAGGGAGAGAAAGAGAGACATTTGGACCAGTTCAGAAATATGAATTAGTGTTTGACCATGACACATCTTTATTTTCTCTTCGTATATTTTTATTGTTTTAGTAAATACTATTTAATTTATTTGTTACTGTAGTAGATATGATTGAAAAGAGAGGTTTGTGTGCTTTTAAAATCCCAAAATGTGAACAAAAGAAAAGGCATTGAAGGCTGCTTCAACAACCCACCGGAAAAACAGAAAGACATGAATGTCTTTAATAAAGTCGTAATGTTACTTCAAACCATCAATTAAGTCCACTCACTCCCAGTGAAGCTTTACCAATTATTAGGGTGGCAATTTGTGTTCGCGGGCCGTAATCATATCGAGTCGTGTCGTATCGTGTCAATTTAAGAGTATTATATTAAACAGTTCAATCCGAATACGACCCGTTTAATAATTGTATCAGGAACTCTCAACATTAACCCGACCTGTTTATTAAACAAGTTACACGTGTGACCCGTTTAATCCTATTTACAAATATATATATATAAAGCTTTACCAATTATTAGGGTGACAATTCGTGTTCACAGGCCGTAATCATATCGGGTCGTGTCGTATCGTGTCAATTTAAGAGTATTATACTAAACAACTCAACCTGAATACAACCCGTTTAATAATTGTGTCAGGAACTCTCAACATTAACCCGACCTGTTTATTAAACAGGTTACACGTGTAACCCGTTTAATGACCTATTTATAAATATATATATATATATATATATATATATATATATATATATATATAATTTTAAATAATTAATAATACTCAATAAAATAATAAATATTAAAAAAAATATAAGTTTTAATAAACCAAATTACTAAATAGTTTCTAGTTTATAAAAGATTAAATTATAAGACACAAATTTATATAAGTATTTTAGAACTTATATAAAAATTTATTTACGACATATATAGTTAAACGTGTATAAATGGGTTACATTGGTTGAATCCCTCAATCCAAATACGACACGATTAACTAAACGGGTTAATCGTGTCGACCAATTTATAACCCGAATCTGTTTAAGGTCAACCCAAACCCATTTAACTCGTGTCGTATTCAAGTCGTGTTGGCGGGTTGTGTCAACTTTTGTCACCCCTACCAATTACCAGTATTATTTTAAGATGGGCTATTGGGATAGGCATGATTTGAGATAGGAATGTACCAAATCCGAAATAATTAGGATATAAATTGGACATTCATTTTGATAATTCACTAACGATGATTAATCTGATATGTGGATAGGCCTACTTGCGAGCAATCAGAACAATAAGTTCTGCAACATATAGAATTATTTTTTATTCAAATTATTCTTTTTAAAACTCAGTCCGCACTTTTATAATTTTTCATTATTTTATGGTTACTAAGTTATCAAAGAATTTGAAACCTCGTTTTATCTTCTATAAGTATATGACATTGTAATTGAGATTTAATTCTCTAAGAATGAGATGATTCCTATGAATTAAAAAAATGCAATGAATGGTTCAAAGTAAAAAGTGTCGATAGTCATGAGAAAGACCACGACAAAGACTTTGATCCTATTCCTATCTTATTGTTTTATAACTTATTCATTACTTACTATACGGCAAAGCTTCTTATATAGTTTAAACCTCTCGTAATTAATAATCTTGAATGATACAAAAATTACAATCATGTTATATTTGGGAGCCTGTTGAAAGAATTTGGCTCAATATTTGTGTTAAACTTTCCTTAATTCTAAGTGGAAGCTTATTTGTTGTTGGTATGCCGTTAAAATATTACTACGTATTTTTTTTATTTGTGTTTTTAGAAAAACAAAAATGGAACTTATGATTTCCTTTATAAGTTGATCAAAACAGTTCTAAGACGGTGATATTGTATCCGGGATATGGTACTAAATTAAACAACCCGGAGTATGCTACCTCGAAGTCATCACAACTTTTGAATGTGCCATATTCCTGATCCAAGAGATGCCATTGTGCCAAAGGTTTTAAAACTTTCTCCAATTCTAGATTTTATATATATATATATATATATATATATATATATATATATGTGTGTGTGTATATATATATATATATGTGTGTATATATATATTATTATTATTTTGTGGTAGGGTAAGGTAGGTAGATCCAGTTCTGTTATTCTTAAGAAGTAAGTACATAATAATGGTACCAGTCATAGGTGAGATATAATGGTCTACCATGCCAGGGCGCAGGAGGCCCATAAAACATTGAGTGGCCCACGCACAGTTGAAAAAAAAAAAAAGAAAAAAAGAAAAAGAAGAAAGATAGAGATGGTATTGATCCAAAGTCTAATGTAGCTTTTAATTTTTTTGACTTAGATTCCTCCATACATTTATGGGTATATATAATGTGACATTGGTATGAAACCATTTGGTTCCCACTTTTGGTGGGATAAGATCTCATATTTTGTCATGTATTGCATGATCATGGCGTCACATATTTAATAAAAGCAAAGCAATTTTTTATTTGCTTAGTTTATTGGTACTGCTATGTCGACTGTAGATCAATTTTAGAGTTTTGGTAATTGGACCGAATCGACTTCCGCGTGAAGCGGTTGTGTCTATTCGGGTTGAGAAGAATTGGTCCAAAATTTTCTTGTGAGATATAGAATTTATTATAAATGACATAATTTTCGTGAACATTGTTCAAAAGTTAATAAATATTTCATAGAATTTTTTGTTCTCAAATTATCTGTCATATGCCAAAGTGTTTCTTTGTTTTTCCTTCTGTTACACCAGAAAACGTTCCCTAACCGTTCATGTCTAGGACACCTCAAACATATATGATTATATATATATATATATATATATATATATATATATATATATTATGAGGAAAGTACAAAATTTGACTCACCAATCACCAGTAAAGTTAAAAGTTGTAGTGTTAGAAGAATGGAATTAGTTAATGATGAAACCAACCAACAAACTAAACATTACATTACATTCAGTGCACTACATAAATTCAACTGGCGTGCGATTTCCGACCTCCCACCACTAACAGTGTCATTATGTCGTCAACCAATGCATGCTTAATTTATTATTGTTTGTTCAAAATGTGTTATAATTACTCTTTTCACAATCTATCTCATCCAATCCAGTCATGTTTATTATATATATATATATATATATATATATATATATCATCTTCAGATTCTGCTTCATGTCAATAGTTGGACCAGGGGCTGCTATTGTTTGAATTGTTGAATGCTATTGCTGTTCGTCTCATGAATCATAAGTTTAAACACGGGTTTCGTGCACTCATCATTCACACGCATATGAAGATGTACGTGTTTAAAACGCATTCATTATTCACATACATATGAAGATGGTGCTGACGTAACAGTAAAATTACTTTATTGTGATCAGAAAATCATAAGTTTTAAATTGGAAGCAACCTCTCCATATGTACTTAAAATATATATCTCTAACCCTCTCCAAAAAATGTCTCCAAATCTGTAATAATAGAAGTGTGGTTTATTGAATTAGGCCCATATATATATATATGGGTAAAGTTAGAAAAACACCCATAACTTTTATTTTAGGTATATAAATCCATTAAATTTTAAAACGTGAACAAATAAGGGCTTAATTAGTATAATATGTCAAAAAATCACATTTAAATAATCATGTGCATTGCACATGTCTATATTAAGTAACAAATTTCCTAAATTGCCATTTTGATCTTCCCAAAATGCCCTTATACCCTTATAAATATATAAACACCATTTCCCTTTCTTTTGATTTCGGTACTTTTGTCATTTTACATTTATTTTTTTTTTGATACATAAGTTTACTTTAGTCCTTTAATCGATTTAAAGACAACAGGGGCCTTGTTCGCATCAAAAATAAAAATTAGGGATTTTTAAGAACCTACATGGAGCATACTAATAGGGTGTTTAGACACTTATATATAAATTAAAATTAAAAATAAAAATAATAATAAAAAATAAAAAAGGAAGACTTAAATGAAGTCTCCCATGATTCATGGAGTACTTTTGGGTTGTTGCTTTGATGCAAGTGGTTGGCAGCGACTCTCGTGACAAAGTTTTCCCTTTTTCTTTTTTACTTCATGAAGAAAATGTGTGTGTGTGTGTGTTTGCGGTGATTATTACTAAATAATGTGGACGTTGACTCTAAAGGTAAACTACTTTGTGCTGCTTTAGTTATTTTGGATTTGTCATCCGCATTTCAACTCAATACTTTTTGTTGTTGCATGTGATTATGATTACCGCAAATCACGTGTATTAATTAAACTCAAAAGGATTAAAATATGCGATTACTGATTACCACAAATAACGTGCATTAATTAAACAAATGTTAATAGGCTAAATACATACATATATACCAAGATTTTACAACTATAGTTAAAATAAAAAAATTATATCAAGAGTTTAACTCTAATAATCATATATTCTTTACTTCTCAATTCAAATTGCAGGCTACTGTTTCATTGACATTACCAGAGTCGGATTACAACATAAATCTTGGGATCTTTCAGGGTGCGTTTTTCGTTATTCAAAGGATGGTTTATGATTAGTTTTCAGAAATTGCCTCCTTTTTGTATGTGTGTGTAAGCATGTTGCCAGCATAATATTATTAATTGTGCTATTTTTTTATTTATTATTATTATTATTTTTTTCCAATTCATGTTTTGTATATTGAATTATGAATTGATACGAGTTATGAATTGATACAGTTAACTAACCTGGTTGGCCCATCTTTTCGGCATTGTTTACGATTGACCAATGAATGTGTTAAAGAGACAGGACTCAGGAGGTGCCATATAGAAAGTATCTATAGAAGCTTGGATGAGATTACACCATATTAGTTTCATATTTATGGCAATTGTATAATATGTGAACTTCAAGCACTCGTTATTGTTCAACACCCCACCCCCCTGCCCAATTGTTAGACATTTCCCCAAGATTAACCTATTTTATTATATAAAGAAACCTATGTCCATTGTTCTTGGATTTTAATAAAACTTAGTTATT